TTAAAAGATGCGCCTTCATATCCTAACTGCTTCTACAGGTTTGCTACTTCAATGCAGATGAAGAACAGTGTGACGCGAGGTTCTTCTATGTGCCTTTTTAACTGAATTCAGCAGCAATTTAAATTTTTAACAAAATCAAATGTCATTGTGCTAACAGACAGAATCTTACTCCATGTTTCCTCAGATAAATATTTGCTTACTGAAGTTGTTAGAAAAGTCTAAGCGGCTTATGGTTCCAAGCATAAAGACTGGTAAAATGGTGAAAACAGGCACACGAGTGCAATAATGCAGGATCAGAAGTGGACTAGCATTTTCTTTCTTATACCGGATAAAAGCTGCACGGTTTTTTCCTCTAGTGGCCTAAGGGTACATGTAAGCAGGCCATGGCTTCATGGTATTTTAGCAGCTGCAATGCATGGATGAAAATTTGCGTCATGTCAGCGAATTGTGGTCCAAAATAAAGAACAAAACAACAATACAAAGCTGTTTATTATTTAATCGACTGAAACGTTACTCCAGTTAACAGTTAGGTGCTAATCAACAGAGTGCGATCACGGCAACTTGATGAACTGGTGTTTTCCAAGAATTGCCAGTGTACTATGTTCGTCAATGCGAAAGGAAGGATGATTAGAGCCTAGTCGATGGCAGAGGATGAAGAAGATTCAGGGTATTGTCTCGCGCTGCTGCTTCCTCGATACTAAAGGATAAGCGGTCATTGAAACTGCCTGAAACTAAACCCATCTGCATTGCAGATGTAGATACTGCCCAGCATCACACTGCAACATAGAGGTAGATATCATGGACAGCATTTCAAAATAAGGCACTGAAAATGTTCTGTGGAAAAAGAAAACTACATCGACAAATTTTGCGTCCATGATCTGTTTAACCAAGTCATATCACTGCCACCACTTGCATTCTTGGGCAGTAGTCTGTCCAGACGAAAGCGGTCAATTATCGATGGCTACAATTGAGTTGTTAACAGATGAGGAAAGCCATGATTCTTAGATCATCATTGAACATGTATAGAGGTATACTGACAGACTCAGCAAGGCAAACGGTTCATTAAATTTTGAGAGGAGAGATCTGGACTTGCTAAAAAGCCGGAATGGAATTTTCATTTCTGTCGGTGATGTCTTCCTAGCAGTTGCTTGACAGCCAGATCTTCGAAATCGTTCGATCCTTCGATGAGGCAACTCAGCAGCAACGAATATTTGGAGCTCATGCTATCATAATGATTAGGTACAGGGGTCGTCGAAAATCACAGGTGCTGCAGTTGGTACCATCACTCTGTATCGATTGTGAAGGCTTGACGCGATAGAGTAAAACGCGAATCAAACGCTCAATATTATGCCAGCTCCGACAACGTGTTTCGTGTGTTGCTGCTGCTGCTGTCCTAGCGATGTAACACGCAGGTTTAATTTCTCCACTTTTACATCATTTCGAGAAAATTTTTTGTCGCATTCTTAACTACGCTTATATGTCATATTTCCATTTCATCGTGAGTCTTATGGTGTCGGGGACGCGATGGTTTCCGGTGTAGGCTTATAAGTGGGGTTAAATGGAGTGGTGCCCATAAAGCGATTTTCAGTACCAAGATTTGCCGAATACAATGGTGCTCCCTAAGCTCATGTGTCTGATTTGCATGATACTGTGAGGAAGCGTATTAAATTATTGCTTTTCTCAAGAATTTACCTGCTCAAAGCTCGCCAGGTGTTACTACTCCAAACTGTTATCGATGATGCAGCTACTTTTGAAAATAAAATTTTAGAAGTTCAATGAAAGGTTGTTGTATATATCATCCTGAAACATATTTTGAAGACCACTTACTACTTTAAAATGAATTGCTGGTAAATTGAAAAATAATTTTAAAAATGCTGACGGAATCTATCCTGAGCGCTAAATTCCAGAATCACAGCAGGAATGAGTCTATTCTTCGAGAAAGAAAAAACAAGTCTACTCTTTTAGGGCTTTTATCTCAAGTACATATGCAGATAAAAGAAGGAGACTGGTCCTAACAGACCAACTAGTGGAGCTTAATCCTTTCTCTCCAAAGCAAGAGACTTACTATGAGGCCGAGTCACGGCAGCGTCAACGAGGATTCCAGCATTTAATACAAATGAACAAAATGAAAGCTTTTCTGCTTGTGGATGAAGCAATTTTTCTACGCTATCACAGCTGATGACTTAGAACAAAAGTGTTGAATAGTTGGAAATCAACAGGACATCCGATATCGTTGACGTTATGCTGTACAAGCATCTAAAATTGTGGTAATACAACAATTGATCTACACTTTGATCTTGGAGGAAAAAGTTGAAATTGAATAGAACAAAATGACTGAAACATGTTGGTAAGCAATGGAAGTACTTTGTACATGGCGTAATCCCATAAGTATAAGCGGCGTAAATTCTTTTGCGACTAAGTATCGCAACACATGGCACAGTCCGTTGCATCTGGTCCAATAGGGAAGCCGTTTCTACACTGTATTTGAGAACGCATTTCGATCACTTTGCTCATTTTAGTCACTGCGCCTACCAGTAAAGATATTGCAAGAGTTGGCGCTGATAATATTTTGGCATTAAAAAACGTTCACCTGCGAAGTATGCTAAATGGGGCATAACTCCTCCAAGATAGGAATATGGTATTGCGATTGCAAAGAACATTTCGGAGTCATTGCCTACATGAATGTTTCCCTCAGTCTTCACACATAGTTTGCCTCTAGGAGTGATTGGATGGCGCAAAACACCTTGCAACCTTGTCGCGCAACAGTTATACCCCATAGCAAAACGTAGTCACAGTACCGGACTAGGTATCTACTGGATTTAGTATCACTTTCGGGCGAAATCTCTTCCTATGCTACTACATCGTTACGCGATAGCCAGTGAGTTCGTATTTTTGCAGTAGATAATTTTTAAAGTGGCTCCTCTAGTTGTTTCACGCTTCTTACATTAACCAGCAAATTTTTACCAGCTACGTTTGCTGAGAATTGGATACGTGGTGTACTGTAGCGAAAAGTCTGATTCGAATCACTCAAATTTGTGAAACGTTTCCTTAATGCAACTTGAGAACTGCTCATACGGTCGCACGGCATCATAAATGGCTGTCGTTCGCGGTGAATTTAAACATATTGCATCTGGTTGGAACTTTCATAAATTGGAATTTAGTAGCAGCGATGTTTGTTAGCTTGATCTAATATATTGTGTGTATTTTTTAATTCGTAATATTTTGAGCTGAAAGGAAAACGTGGATGCCGGTTTTCTCGGATGTAAGACGACTCATGCCGTAGTGCATTCTTCCGACTACCTTTATGAACGTTGTATATATTGATCAAACGGAATCGGAAGATTTATAACTCATGCCTTCTGTTAGTAAAATGCTGAGTGCATTTATCGACATGTCAGTTACTCAGTTTCGATAACTGTTTGTCTTTTCGAGTTGCGGAGTCAGACGTGTCAGACAGTGCTTCCAACGTTCCAGATCCTGTGCCATAGTCTAAGCCTCGGTAGAGGATAATTACTCTGCAGCAGAGTGCGTCAAGACATTTGCCCCAAGTCATTCTTGGTCGTCTTCGGCCGGCCGATTGGTAGAGTAGTAGCTGCTTCGACTTGCATTATGGAAGCATTCATTAGAAGTGCCTAAACCATCGCAGAAGCAGTGGTTCTACACCACGGCTTTCTCGGATATCTGATTTCCGATCAATGTCGAGATGCGCGAGCCATGTGATTCATTCCAGGCATTCCATTTTAGCCGCTTCTATCTGAGATCAAAGTTTTTCAGTCAGGGGCCGCGACTCATGATCATAGGTGAACATGTGGATGAAGATCGACATTAAAACAGAGAGCTTAATCTTCAGACCAGCACTGAGTTGGTCACAACAGTTTGTGCTAGTTCATGCAGGACGCCGAGGGTGATTTCAGTTCGTCGGTCGATCTCTTCCCCTCCCCATTTTCCATAATAAGTAGACACGACCCAGAAGTACATTAACTTCACTTGCTCCACTGCTTCTCCTTTTATCCGCTTATCTTTAAGCGCAGCGGGCAGAGAAACGAGGAAGCACGTTGCTTTTGGTTTTAGGCACGTTCACACGCATGCCAGCCATGTCGCATCGCACTCAGCTGCAAACCTTTCCAGGAAGTGCTAAAGATCATTTTCAGAAGATGCCAACAAAACTAAGTACTCTACAGACATTGTCGTTTCCACATTTCCTATGCTGATACGATCATCGTCCTGGATGCGCCTGACTATTCTATCCATGTACAACAAACAGGAGAGAAGACAGAATGCACCTTTGGCAGAGACCAGTGCCAGCGCCGAAAGGACTCGATTTAACGCCATTTACTCTGACGCACGTACTCTCAGCATATGGTGATTGGATGACCCGTGGCAGCTGGCCATTGATGTAATATGTTCGCAGGCATGCCCACA